AAGGAAGGAAGGAAGGAAGGAAGGAAGGAAGGAAGGAAGGAAGGAAGGAAGGAAGGAAGGAAGGAAGCCATTGTCTTCTTTTATCCCATGGAGCTCAACAGGATTTTCACTGAACTTCCTCATCTGGAACTTCAAGGCCCCCATCAACCATTTAGAGCCCCAGAATATATTCATTACTGTACTTACTGTAATTATAATTTTGCTATACATAACAGATGGACAATCTGTCGACTTGATTAATCTAAGATCCAAGTTTAAAAGTTTGCAGAGTTATGCTAAGTAACTAGCATACCAATATGCTACACCATTCTTTCTCCCTTCCTCTGCACAAACACCTTTACATCTGGGTAGTAAGGAATGTAGAGAGGAAATGGATGATAAGCAAAGGAATGAGTGTCCATGCCATGCCAGCCCTGCCTATGAATTATTCAAATCCATGTCCTGTGGCACTCATCAGCCTATCTGTCCAGAGCCATGGCATTCTTCCTGTTTGCCATCTTGCATACCGCCACCGGACTGCATGGGAAAAGACACCAATGAAAGCTTTCTGATCCAGCTACAGCAGATGTAGGAAAAGGAGAAGAGAGGAGCAGAGGAGCACTGATTACTCTCTTGCTAAGGATTCCTTTGGCATTCCTAAATAACCACTTTGAATTGAAGCTGTAAAGCAGAGGTGCTCTACTCTGAATGGCCACACTCCAAAAGTAGGCAAAGGCAAGACAAAATGTGAGTGTGGTCAAAACAAAATTAAAATTTAATTTGGGGAGGATCCCATGCACTCTGGATATTCAGAATGTGGATCCTCACTACAATGCCCTGCATTTCTTACCTAATTTATTTTACAGCAGAAACCCATGTGTGAGCAAGCTACCTGAATTCCAATAATAGTACTTGCATCTGAAGTTATGTGTGAAGTCACTGTATTCATGGTTTCAAGATATAGAAACTTGCTTTAAGTTATCAAGAAATCAAATTAGAACTAAGTGTAGGCAAAAAAAATTATATCATTAATGACATAGCAAACTTTAAATTAGCTACAGTGACTAATACATCAGAGCAACAGAGACACTTAAGTCAAAGTTAATGAGATACAGGAGAGCTGAACCCTATCTCAGCTACTTGCCTACCCATTTCTTGTATCTCTCCCAGGTAGAATTAAATCTATCAAGCAGATACAGTTTTCCAGATAACAATCTTTGTTCCTTTCCCATTCTCCTAAATTACCATCTTCTTTCTGAAGAACAAGACATATTTCTCAGGCCTTTTAAAAGGAATAGACAGACATTCTGTCACTTCCCAAGTCACTTTCTTTGTATATGAAATTCAGTAACTAAGATCTGATACAATGCAAGACAGGATTGCTTTTTAATGAAGAGAGACATTTTTAAGATGGAGAAATTTAGGTTACAGAGTGTTTTAGACTCCAAATTGTGACATATTTAGTAAGACAGATATCCCCTCCCCCAAAACTAGCAAAAGCTATTCATCCATTTTCAGAAAATAGTGAGACATCAGCTGGAGGTGTACAATCAAAGAAAGTGCCAAAATTTCAGCAGGACCACCACTCTGGTTTTTATATGCCATAATTCTTCTAGCTTAGGCCCCCTGCCAAGAGGAGTTGGCTTGCCCATAAAGATTCTGGCCTGGCACTGGCCATTTTGCTGTATTTTTTCAAAGTGAATGTTCCTAAAATTAGAAAATTTCCAGAAATAAATAAGCTGACATAAAAGCAAAGTGTTCAGAATGGAAACCTTATTCAATGCTCTCTGCAATCTAAAGACACACACAAAGCAAAGCCATTACCCAATATGATTTGTGCTTTCTGGTCAGTCTCCTCAATATTGGCTTCTACATACTTTTTTTTTAAGCTTGTGTGCCAGATAATGGTTTTCCTTGGTTTTATTATTTTTTTAATCCACTTAACCTTGGTTCAGTTGGCCCATTCAAGATTGGCCAAGTTCTCTTTTTATATGTGTTTATAGGTATTGTTTTTCTTTTATTTGTAAGCTATCCAGAGTCATCAAGGAGTTGGGCAACTGGATTAAATAAATGTCATGTTATATAATGCACTGTGTGGCCAGAAAAAGTCCCAGAATCTCACCCACAAATTGGTATTTTTACTTAGGCCTTAAAAATAATATTCCAAACTGATACAGTATCTCTTTATTAAAAACAACTGGCAAATTAAACAAAATCTGTCAGTAGTATGGTATATGCAAACTGCTGTGTGACTCGCCCAATCTCTAGAACTAATGCACCATAATTTACCGAACACACAGGCTAAAATGTTCATTTCTTAATCTTGGCACACACATAGAAATTTTAATATGCTATGTATAGTACAATCTCACCTATGTTTAGGATATATTTATAAGGACTGGAGAAATGAAGTAAATGTATTTTGCCATGTCATCATAAGCCCATGACTGATGCAAATTTTAAATCAGATTCTTAAATTCAATCCAGCAACCATCTGAGTTACAGAACAGCTGATTTTATCTTCAACTGGTAATAGGGAAAAAAAATCTTTTCAACTATTTGAATCCTTTTATGGAACTCCAGTTTTACTTGTTAAGGAACATTGTCACATAACACAATTCTAAGAGTGAGAGGGACGAACAAGAAAAGATGAAAGACATCCATGTCATTCTCTTACTCAATATCACAAGAAAGTCACTGCGACTCAGAACCTTGATTTATCAAAAGCAATGTCATGATCATAGGTCATAAGTTGTCAGACTTTAATTCAGGCAATTGTACAGATGTTATCAATATCTGATATATAAAACTTTACTAGAAGGATTTGGGGCAATTAAGTTTAACACCTAGGGATGCAGGAAACCTACAGACAAATAGGTTATTTCTTGCTTTAGGTTCCTATAGGAACTTGAATGGAGTCTGAATTGGCCCAAAGTAACGCCCAGCATTACCTTCCCATTCACCCACTGGAGTTAACGAGAGGCGTCTACTTTGAGAATCAATTTGCATATTAAAAAAATTGAGCAGAATTTAAATTTAAAATCACCCTAAACTGTTTTTTTAAAAAAACAAACAAGCATGGCTTGCTCCCAAGTACTGTTGTCAGACACAAACATAAAAACTTTTGCAGGAGCAACTCTCTGATCTTGGCATAATGCCCTATATGGTTATTTGGTATATTTATTTCAAGGACTCAATAAATGTCTAAAACAGCATTTCCAAATTGTGGCAAATTCCCTGTTTAGATTTTGAGTCATAGAATTTTCCAGCCAGTACAGCTTTGCTGAGAATTCTAAGATCTCAAGTTCAGAAATCTTGAAGTTCCCAAGTTTAAGAAATCCTGATCTAAAAGGAGTTAATTTCATTATTAGTAACAGGAAAATTTGACAGACATGAACACTTTTTTTTTATAATTGTTGCTTTGTTGCCTTAAAAAAAAACCTTAAATATGATTTCTAAGTAAAATAAAATATCAAGATTTAATCTCTACAAAGTGATCCTACTCTCACTTATGCAAAACACTCTGAATTTATCGAGGGTCACTTCTAAATGGCCATTGATTGTAGCTAGCCAGATTTATCACAATTTTAAGAGTTAATCTGCAATCAATTTTGAATTAAAAATTAAGGAATAGCTTTATTTAAATACATCTAAAATTGTTATTTTTTAAAAAAAAAACACTTATTTTAATAAATTAAAAATCCCTCTATTTTGCAATTTCTGGAATGTTAAACAAAGGAAACTATTGTAAAAATAAACCTATCATTTCACAATGGTTGTTGCTATGAGAAAAATATCTGGAAAAATTGTTTGGATATGGCAACGTAAAAAATGCTTAGCACCAGACTCACAAAAGACACAAAGAACAAATTCTACTTCTTTCCTCCTAATCATGTTCTATTTGTGTTTGTGCTTTTAAAAATAAATCTCCAATGTAAAATTATAAAGATAAATGTTTATATTGCTAAAGGCAACCTTGTTCTAATGGATCCTAAGGAAAAAGAAGGAACAGCTAGGCATACCAAAAAAATAGAATAAGTGGGGAAGATAAGTAAAGCAATACAATTCAAGATTTTATTTTATTTTTTTGCCTCCTGTTCTGCTAAAGAGTATGCAAAAGTGTGAGAATCCAAATCATTATCACACTCAAATGTCTCTTTCCCAGATACAGAGTATTTTGGGAAAACAGCTTTCTAACATCAGTCTAAAAAATAAGCAATTTCTTTTTTCTATGAAATTAAATTTTATGAAGGTGCTAATTATAGTATGCTAATAAGGTTCTCCAACAATGTCTCAAGCTCAACAGATCTATTGGGTCAAAATTATTTTTTGCATATGTTACGCTCTACATCTATTAATTCTAAACTATGATAATTTGATTTGGCTTCCAGTTTACATTGCTGGCTGGTGGATTTTATTTGTGATGGATCATTAGTTATTTTCTTGTTTTTTATGATGTTTGTGGATTGTGAGCCATCAATAAGGTTTGGCAAGAGAAAGATGGCCAAGAAATATTTTGGGAATAAAATGCAATGGGTAACTTCTGGAAAAGAAGAAATAAGATTCCTCTCCCTTCCCCACCCTTAATATTTGCCCCACCCTCACAATTTGCTCATGCTGCCTAGAGAATTCTGGGAGTTGAACTCCACACATCTTAAAGTTGCCAAGGTCAAGAAATACTGCTTTAGAGGAAAACAGTTCCTTGAAGGTGGATTCCACTCTAATAAAGCAACAACTGCCTGACACATTAGGAGATAATTAGAAGAGTTTTCATGCAAATGCAATGCGGGCACTAACTTTGATTTGCAAATTAGAAACCTGGTGAACAAGGCATTTCATTCCCTCTAGAGTAAATTCCCCTCCCTTGCTTTGCCTGTAGAACACTGATCTTAGTTCAAGCAATAGTTTCAATTTTATAGGAAAAGAGGAGGAAGCTGGAAAACTATGCATTATTCAATAGCTTGCAGAGAACCTGAGTTACACGTGTTTTCTCAGAACAATCCTTCTCCCATAAGTCTAAAGCACTTTAGCTGGTTCACCCACATAGTTTAGCCAAGATTTTATAAAACATTAATTTGAAGAAAAAGACATAGTGGTTTGGGATGGTTCACACGTTATTTCTAAATACATCATTCTTTTTGTGGACTGCAAAATATGTTTGCACTCCAAACTAACCATGAAATACCACTGGGAAAGAAACAAAGGTTTTGGAATGGCCTGCAAAATCTCCAGATGAAAATCTTCAGAATTATTATTCAAAATCTTTGAGGAAATCTCAACCCTGTAGCACATGCAAGGAGGTCTAAGAATATTTCTGAACTACAAGAATTATGCAAGGAATAGTAGGGAAAAAATTCCAAAAACGACAATAGAAAAAAAAACTTAAGTTGACTACAGAAACTGTATTACAAAGCACAGATTGAAAGTGTATCCAAACTTCTGCACTGTTTTCTTATTTTGATTCTATAAGCAACTGCCCATAAATAGAATGTTTACATTCAAATTTGCAGGAACATGTGATTAATTCTGTACCACAGATCAGTTCCTGTTCACCTAGGGATTTCCTGAAACACACAATTTGACCATGGGTGCCCAAATTTTGCATGCAACTGTTGTCTAAAAGGCATGCCTAGTCCATTACTCTTGACATTTTCTGGATGTGTCTGCCGTAAAATCCAGGAAGAGCAAGTGAAGAATTGCTTCTGAGAGTCTTCAAAGATATACTCAGTTCAAAGTATACTATCAACAGGGGATAGAGAACTACAGAAGATATTGCAGTGGTCAGAAGCATATTATGTGTGCTGTCAGAACATGGCAGATGTAACTGTTATTTAAAAGGCACAGGCTGTAAAGATTACGTTCAGCTGACTGTGTTTCTGTAATGGCAAGTTACATTTTAGGTTTATTTTTTCTCCCCACTATTTTCTCATACATGCACAATTTTGAAAAGGCTTTTTTTTTCCTTCCAAACTTTTCTGTACCTTGCTATTGTGAAATACAGACAGTAGTACTTTCATACATTATGAAGTTATCCCAAAAGTAGCATAAACTCAGATCTGGAGAGGATCAAATACAAAGGTTTATGATGCTCAGCAGGAAAAAAAAAATCACAAAAAGGTGGCATTCCACTGATCATGGAAAAGATTTGAAGGCTGTTACAATCTTCAATAATAAGCCCTTATATATTAACATTTGGATGTTCTGAATAATATGGGCTTATGAAGCATTTTAACAGTGAAATCATCCAAGCGACCCAAAGAAACGAGTTTACTAGACACAATTAATGAGCTAGCTGCATCTAAACCATCAAAACATCTGCTTTGTTGGTTAAAACAAAGCTTCTAATGTTATCATAGCTTTTGTCAGGAAGTATGACACAAAGCAAAATGTGTCACCCCACCAGAAAACGTAAAGTGCTTTATGGAGTAAGTGGCAAATGTGTGAATCATCTTTTATTTGCTGCCCCATTTCCCAACCATTGCAGTCAGACTAAGTCAGTAAATATCAGGGGAATAGGAGGAAAAAACCCTCCCTGTTCTAATAATACTCCTTTAGAACAACATGTGGTTTCCACACTGAAGGAAATTCTGCCAGGACCTCAATCCAGAACTATTGATTCCACTCTAGTAATATTTTCCCACCTTGGAGTTAACTGAAAGGTCATACTTCTTAAATAAAGGAAAATTGTTCAGTGCCATGAATCACATCATAAATTCAAAATGAGTTGAAGGACCACCTCCAACCTGAAATATCTTAAATGATCCTGATTTGAATAACATGACTCGTACCAGTAATGGACACAACCCATTTATAAAACATTTTGCTGTAATGACTGCAATATTTTAGCACAGCATAACATTAAAATACGACTTTTCTCTCCCACTCCATTAGTTTGAGACAGATACTATGCTAGTACTGTAGTGAGTGACTGCTACTCATGCACAAAAGTTTTTGTGTAAATAAAGCGGTAAAATATCTTCCTCAGCTTTTAAAATGAAGAGCTTAAGCAAAAAGAAATCCTATAACTTTTATTACAATAGTGTAAATGGGATGTAAATGCAAAACAATCCAAATAGCCAGTGAGTTAGAAGATACAAGTAAGGATGAGGTAGAAGAGTCAGGACAATTTCTATCATAATTTGACTACCTCCACTTCCTTTGCATCTCCAGAACACTTGTAGATTTCCTTGATGGCCTTGTGCTTTCCAGAAGAGGAGGTTTAATAATAGGAGTAATGAGAAGGGCATCCAACAGAGAACGATAGCTACTGTGATTGGAGAGTCTAGCAAGCATTTAAAGACAGAAGAGAAGGAAACCAGTTATCATAATAAAACAGAAAGCTGTCCATGCTAGAACTGAGGAAATAAAAATCCTCTTCCCTTTTCTGGTACTTTAATGATTTAAAGTGACATTCACTGCTATTCATTCATTCATTCATTCATTCATTCATTCATTCATTCAATTTATAATACCTTGTAATGCTCCCAGATCTTGGACAAAAGAATCTGTAGCTCAGACCTTACTGAAATCTAAAGCACCTGGAAAGATCTCCCCATCCTGTTTTTTCATGACACATTAAGCAAGTCAATAAAGAAATTCCTATGTGTTCAATCGATTACAGAGACATTTGTACCAGCCTCATCTCACCATGACTGCATAAATACCCAGGGCGCACAGGACAATTCTACACCTCCCTACTGCTTTCAGATACCAACCCTGCTACAACATATAATGTTCCCAGATTCTGCGCAGCAGCAATTAAAATTTGTCAGATGATGACCTGTGTCATAAACTAATCTAAATGAGCATCTAGTTCATCATACTAGCGTGCTCTGCCACATACTAACCTTTATGCCCCCCACACCCATCTAAAGTTCCTACCCCTTTTAGATTTGCTTGGACTGTTTTTATATATACTTTCTGATTTAATACATATATTTTTATATCTTCTAGCTTTTCATAATTTTTCCTTTAGATCCCTTTTAGATATATATTTTCTATTTTATATCTTTTAGCTTTTTATTATTATTTTTCTGATGCATTTTCTATGCTTTTTAAATTGACTGTACCCCACCCCCCTTATGCTGGTCTTTGACCGTAATAAAGATTTGATTGATTGATATGTGTTCAATCTAAATATATCTTGGAAAAATATATTGTTGCTTATGAGAATTATGAGCCTGGAAATGGTATATGACCTAGTGATTCACATGCAATACTGTACTATTATTAAAATATATAAAGATAGCTTTAAGTTCAATTTATACCCATGCAACTTTAAAGGCAGTGTGATAGAAGTGGTTTGTCATTGTTTTCTTCCAGGATCCTCTTCCAATTTCCCAGTCTGGCCAACAGTTGGGTCCCTAGACAAAGTGCTAATTGGGATCCACCCTGCTTAGTTTTTGAGATTAGCCGAGGCAAGCTAGCTGTTACCGCTTAGACAGAATTATATGCCAACAGGGTAAATTCAGGTTTCAGCAACATTGCTATGTCAAAATTAGAAGGTTAGGTCGAACAGTTATTTAAATTTCAAACACAGAAGCTGCTCAATTACCTTCTATGAATTCATTTAAATAATTAGAATGATACACCATACATCCTGATTCTGTCTCCTTTAAAAAATCTCAAGGTGATGGAGTTTTTCTTCAGGGCAATCAATTCAAGACATAATCAGAATTACCACAAAGCCCTACTCATTGGGATAGAGGCGGTCAAATATATGCATACTGTGTGTGTGTGTGTGTGTGTAGAGAGAGAGAGAGAGAGAGACAGACATGAACAGATTATATTACTGGAGACAATTTTCTCCATTGTAGATCCAAGTAGCTAATCTGTTCCGCAAAAAAAGGGGTTATATTGAGACTCAGTCACAAGATCCAACACTGTGAATTAACTGCATTAAAAGTGCTAGCACATATTTCCTGTCTTAAGAGCACCCAAAACTACATCTCACATATTTCTGAATGTTGTGCTTCTCTCATGGTATTCCTTTATCCGAATGATCCAATGGAATGTCTACCTGGAGCGCATCAACACAGCAGCAGACACAGCAGCAGCAGCGCTACTCCTAACATGCGTGGTTGCCTCCATTGGAATTGAAGGAAAGGGCATTTGAGGAAGTGTTAAACTACTTCCCAATGGATTTTCCAGTAGCAATTTCCTAGGATACAAAATTCAGTTCAAGGGAAGAAAAAAACTGAGACTGAGATAACTGTACATGAGCACAGGTTATGCATACAATTTCCAAAATAATCTGAAAAGAATAGCAGCACACCAATGCATCAACTTTTTCAGAAACTTTAATAGAAACATTACCTTGAAGTTTGGCCAAGTTAGCCAATGTATAGGTTAGAGTCTTATATTCTGGTATCTTTCGATCCTTGACACATTTGGAAAATTGCATTTAGGTTACCTAAAGTCTTCCAACTGGCAAGCATTGGAAACAGAACTCTTGTATTCTTAGTTTTCCTAATTTGTTCAGTGGGACCTATGTCCAGTTAATGTGTGATGGGCTTTGCTTTGCAGCCAGATCAGCACTGCTTTTCAAGCACATTGTTAAGCACTGATCTTAATAATGTAATCTCTTTTTAATTAAAAAAAAAAGTGCATGGGATGATGATTAAAATACATGACCCAAATACCAACCTGGGGAACTGACTGGTGTTACACACGTAGTTATCAAAAGCATCCTCATTTAGCTATTGAAGCAGCAGGTATTTACGTACAGTAGGTATATGACTGGAACTTGCACTAAGCCAGTACAATAGTATAAGCAGCCTTGAACTCCATAGTGAACAGAGATCTTCATCTAAGTTTACACAGTCCCCAGCTTAATTTCAGAAATCCTCTATAAGATTATCGGTTCATATATCTAGCAAGAGTAACTGTTCTCTGGAAGCTAGCTGGAGAAGGAGGAAGAATTTGAACAGGGAAGGCAGCATCAGAAACAAAGACAAGATGTGGGTCTGAACCTACCTACCCTTTCACTTTGATTCTGCCTACTGCCAGATTTCAGGCACCAACAGATTAGTCTGGATGTTTTATGAAGGCTTTCATAGGGGAGGGAAAAAAAGCTCTTCCATCTTACTGAGGTGTGGCAGCTTGAATGAAGGGATTTTTGATCATCCCAGAAGAAGTGCAGCAACATTTGAAATTCCATGTTTGTCTTCTTAAATTGCAGCTTGACGTCAGCACAGCACTTTTGTCAAAGGCAATTATAAAGAAAAAAGTATATAGTTTCTGATCACTTCTCCCAAGTTTAGTGCAGCTCATTTTATTTCAAATTATTTGGATCAATAGTTAAAAATGTTTAAAGAAGAATTTACTTCAGGTGTCCAAAAATGTAGCTGATCTGTCATAGAAAAAATAGTAATGGAGGAAAATGCACAAAGCTATGCTGAGCAACACTTCTTAGGAAGTTCTTGGAATAAATGTAATTTCAAGATACTGCCCTCCCAGGAAAAATCAATACAGGTGAGGTTGAAACACAGTTACTGCTTAGTATTAAGCTTCAAAGAGATTTATTATATTCAGTTTGTTTGGTGCACAACTTATTGACATTGAAATAATAGCCATTTCCTATTTCCTAATATTTTATTTTGACTGGAAAAACTTGTACATGGGCATGCTGACACTTTGGAAGATACTGTTTTTCGATCTTTGCCTTGGTAGACAGCAATTACCAATAGAGACGAATATGTGTAGCTCAGGGTTGAACTGTGGAGTCCTTGGGGTTCTCTGAGCTTCTTTTCTTGCAAACATTTCATTACCAGACTAGGTAACATCTTCAATGCTAAAATGCGATAGGGTTTGCTCTCTATTTATATACTGTGGCCTGCCTTGCCAGTGCTGGTGGGGGTTTTGTTT